TAGGACCCAAAGTTGCAGGAGTAGGGTGGCAATTTTTTTTTTTTTTTTTTTTTTTGAGACAGTGTCTCACTCTTTCACTGTGGGTAGAGTGCAGTGGTGTCATCATAGCTCACTGCAACCTCAGACTCCTGGGCTCAAGCGATCCTCTTGCCTCAGCCTCCCAAGTAGCTGGGATTACAGGCATATGCCACCATGCCCAGCTAATTTTTCTATTTTTAGTAGAAATGAGGTGTCCCTCTTGCTGAGGCTGATATTGAACTCCTGACCTCAAGCAATCCTCTTGCCTCGGCCTCCCAGAGTGCTGGGGTTACAGGTGTGAGCCACCTAGGCCTGCCTGCAACTTTGTTTTTTGAAGTCGACAAGAAGATCCTTCTTGGAATGTTTTGCTGACAATCAAAATTTAAATTTGTGCCACTACAAGCAACACTTAATTAACATTATCATGAATACAAAGCTAAAAAGTCATGTGGATGATTAGGTCCCAAAATCGAATTTCAATCCTTAGTTTTCAGCTTTTCCCACTAGATCTAGAGCTGTTTGAAAGTAAAGATTATCTCAAAGAACTTTGCAGTTGAAAAGACTTTTAAAGATTATTCAATAAGTAGAATCTCTTTTGTTAAGTCTCTGATCAACATCAGTCCTCTCTGCCTATTTCCAAAAATGGTGATTTATGTCTTCCTGAGACTGGCTTTTTCTTGGATAGACAGCTCCAGTAGCTAAGAGAGTGCTGAAATATTTCTGTAACTTAATTTTACAGTCCTCATTTATCTTTATTTGAGGACTCTGGACTGAGTCATCGCATCAGTCCTTTCGGTATTTAAGGCCAGACACCTACTCTCAGTTGGGTCTTTTTATCCCCAGGCTAAACAACACCAGTTCTCTCACCTATTTAAACATTTTTTTTTCCAGACTCTATCATCTTTTTCATCTTCTTCTGTGTATTCTTCAGTTTAAAATGAGGTATCTAGAATTAAGAACACTATTTCAGGTCTGATCTATGAGTGCTAAGATTCAGTAGTAGACGCTCATTAATCTTTTAATAATGTGGTCTTAGCCCTGTTAGCAGTCTCAATAAACCTGGATTATATTAAGTTAGCAAATAACTGTCATTTTTTCCCACATTGTTGTAATTTGGGATTTTTAAGATGGAAAGCATGCTTTCAGTGATTATGAGAGACACAAAATGGAAATAAAGATTTTGGGGATGGGGGAGCAAAAGAGAAAAATAAAGAAAAAATGTTAAAAAAACATTTCATTACTTACAGGTCCTGGGGGTACGCAGCACACCTGACACACAGGGATGTCATGGAGCGCATGGAGAGAGAGAGGAAGGGACTGTGGGCCAATGCCTCCAGGGTATTACCTAAACATGTTTCCCACAGGGAGTTTTAATTTGTGGGTTTAAAGCAAGCAGGTGCAAGTTCCAGGAGGTCACACGGTGACTGAGAGATGGTCCCTTGGGCACATACACGTAGTCCAAGTGGGGTGTGAGGGTCAGCGGGGCCAGTCACCCGGGCTGCATCTGGCAGTTCCCTGGGGAAGTGGCACCAGGAAGCAGCTGCATAAGCCGGATGCCAGGACTGACCACACTGAGGACCTGGGAGAGGTGTAGAACTGGTAACTGTGTCCAAGGTGACTGAGCCCTCCTTCTGGTAGGAGACAGTGCAACTTATATTCAAAGTGGATGCCAAGGCAACATAAAATAATAATTCACTATATACACAAATTGTTGATTACCCTAATCTTATGCAATTGATTTCAAAACCTAAGTAGAAGTATTCATGATCGTTAAGCTTTAGGTTATTGGTTTTGATCCATTGTTTCAGCTAGTTTATATTCTTTTAAATTGTTTGTTCTTCGTTGTGTTAACTATTCTTCCCAGCTTTTCCTTTCCTGGCCTTCCCTTTAAGAATGGTAGACAGTCAAAGGTCTACCTTGAGAGATGTCACCTTGGAGAGGCCAGTGGGCAGCTCCAGTAAATCTGGTGGATTTATAATTGTCTGTGAACTGGGCCTCTTGGAAATTAGATATGTGATCTAAGGAATATTGGCACAAGGCTATAAAAACTCCAAATTAATTTACTAAGAATTGTGACTTCCAATTAGACTGTCTTCTTGTTTTAAAATGTACGTTTTATTCATATTTAGGTATGGGGAGGCCAACAAATCAGGAGACAATTGATATTGAAAAGACATTTGCTACTCTCAGCTCCGAGGGGAGATGGGGTGGGGGACACACCACACTATGCAGTGCCACATGGGGAAGGGAGGACCAGAGTCTCTTGGGAGGCAGAAGGAGCTAGGGGAAAAGGTGGGCAAGAGCTTTATTGTGGTATCTGTGGGAAGAAATAGGCAGGCAGGTAGGCAGGTGGGCTCTGGGGTGTAGGAGCTGTCTCTAGCTGTCTGGTACCCGGCCCTGGGGTCATCAGGGCAGGGGACAGTGGCCCCAAGTGTGAGAGCCCCATAAAGGAGTCGGTTGGGCTCTGGGCTCTGGTTGGTTGTTTGCATATGAAAGGCGTGAGGGAGTTCCCTGGGGGAGTTGTTTTCTATCTCTAGGAATCAGTTAACCCTGGGAGGCGCTATCCCTCCAGAGTCAGCGAGGCCCCAGGGTGTCAAATCATCAGAAAATATAAAAATTAAAAACACAATGAATACATTTCTCATCACCCTGACAAGTTTATGCTCTCCTTTAAGCAAACTATATGGGAATCAAATTATTAAAAGGCTACACAGTGAGTATTTAATCAGAATAATAGTAGTTTTATCATTTGAAATTTTAAAAGGTTCAAGTATTAGATGCCTGATGGGTGCGTCTCTACCAAGGAATATGCCAGGCAGGTGTTCACCACTTTCCCTGGGCACCGCCTATATGGGCCCTGTCAGCACACTCTTAGTACTGGGGTGGCCCTGTGTCCACAAAATGACTCCTGCCATGAATCAGTACTAGCTGTACTCTGAAAATCCTAGTCCCAAGTAATTATAAAATCAATAAATGGTCTAATCATACCTTTAAGTAAAAGTTAAATCATACTCTTACATGAAGTTAAAATATAACAGAATGCATTTTAAAATATATACATATATACACATATGCGATTCCTGTTGCAAACATCTGTGACTCACCATTGAGATCACAATGATACATTTTACTTAATGGAGTGAAAAGTCCCATGGGATGACTTTACAACCATACTCAAACACCAAAAATGTTCTTAGGATTGCTAGCAGCTTAAAAATTCTTCCAAATATGGCCCCAAAAGTTTTAATCCTATTGAATATCTTTTTCATGTTGGGATGAGAACAGCAATAAAAGTTATTCTTTCCTCATTTTCTATTTATTCAAAGTAACCTTTGGCCCAATTTCTCTTGAAATTGTTGAAATATTCTTAGTATTTGAAAGATAAATAAAAATCAGCAATAATCAAAATGATATTTTAAATCTTTATTGATACCATTTTGTTTATGAACTAATCTATTTACATATTCTTCCAAACTGTACCCTTACGACTTGAAATTAACTATTTTTCTCAATATTAAACTTGCAGAAGGCATTTAGCTATCTATATAAACATCAGGTACAATTCTAAGTTCTGAATCAAAAAATATTTCCAATGTAATTAATATTAATGTTCTTCAAAACAGTAAATGGAAAAACCTGCAATTACTTTTTAAAATAAAAGCCACAAATAATTAAATAATTACTATGTACACTACAACTTACTTATATCAAATTACCAGGGAAAGCATCACACCAATTATTAGGATCACCTCGACTCACAGAAGGCAAAAAAAGTTATATATGACAATCATCAAATTAATAGTCAGGATTTATATAGTCTGATTTATTCTTTGTTGAGAAACTGCTAGGTTGAAATAAGGATTCTTTGTATAAACACCATACCTTGAAGTTATACAGATAATTTAGTTATTTTACATTTTATAATAGTAGCATGGTATTCATTTATTTTGTTAGAAGTTATTCACAGGTCCTAAAATACTAGATGATTGGAATGTCATATTAAGGAAATTATCATTATATATCCTTATTATATAAATGTCTAATAACTACATATCCAAAATAAAAACATATCATTTAATATTGACTGAATATTTTGTGATTAAGTTTCTATTGGCTTTCTTAATTTTAGCTAACCTAATAATCAGTTTTACTTTTAAAAGCAAAGCAAGCACTTAGTTTCTATTTGTGATAAATCCCAAACTTTTTTTTTGGTTGTTTCTTTTGAAAGATAATAATTTGATATAAGTAAAGAGGAATGCTTTTTAACTTTTGTGTTATATTACCTTGCTATTGGAAACCTATGGATTGGTTTCCAAAAATAATAACAGGAATTAAAATATATGGAGAAAGAATAATCCATAAGATAACATTATAGGTAAGTTTATTTAAAAAAAAAAAGCAAAAAACAGTGTACAAACAACAGGATTAGGCATAGATTTTTAGTAGCTTATAAAATTCTGACCTGCCAGTTTGACAATGATTAAGCTAATACCACGAATATTTTCGTTGCCCATTCTACTATAGTGTTTAAACTTTTAAAAATTTTAATTTGATTTTTACCTACCTGCAGTCAACATTTTTTAAGAATTAGTTCATTCTTTCTTTGTAGCTTAGGTTTGTAGATCTTAGAACATTTTATCGCTATTAGAGTTTTCTGTTATGCTTTTGGGATCATAGTTAATTACAATCTTATTTATTGACTTGAAATGTTAAAAAAAATTCATTGACTTAAAAACTGTTTCCTAATAAAATATTTAGCTAATCTGAAATTTAAAAAAAAGTTATCTCCAACATATGTGGCCTTCTTTCTTTGCTGATTTTTGTCTGTTTATTTATTTTTTTAAATAGAGATGGGGGTCTTGCTCTCGCTTAGGCTAGTCTCAAACTGCTCAGCTCAAGTAATGCTCCTGCCTGGGCCTCCTAGAGTGCTAGGATTATAGGCATAAGCCACCTCACCTGGCCATGATTTTTGCTTAAATGACAAATTTGGACCACATGAAGGTTGTTATATATTGGAGGTTTTAAGAAAAATAGCTTTCATTTTGTTTGAGAGAATTACCTTAGCAGAAACTATATATTATTTGTGTGTTCATGGTGACTAGTACAACACACATTACATTTTGATCTGCCTAACCATTATGGACTAACCAATTACGAGATTTAAAAGGATGAACATTTATGATTTCTTCTCTAATTCTATATTTCTCTGATAGAGACATCTGAAGAAAATGTGTTTTCTATCCATCTCTTAAAAATTTACTAATTGCTTAATTTGTTCTGTTTGCAGTGATTGTCTCCTTAACAACATTTTTTTACTTTTGAATTCTTTAGGGAAAATAGGAACTGTTGGAACAAACACTTTTTGACCACAAGAAAGAAGGCTGCAAATCTTGCTGTTGACATTGATATCTGATATGGGAGGGTGAGGATTTACATTTAAGGGTGGCAGAAATCCTGGTCTGGTTTGAGTAATATTGTGATCTAACGGGAAAGCTCCAGAACCACGCCGTTCTAGAACTGCATGATTTCTCCTGCTCAGGACACCCGGAGGCATATTCTCCAACAATTCTTTGGACCCTGACACCTGCGAAGGACATGGCGAAAGGATCTTTTTCTTTCCTGTAAGTGCTTTGCCATCTTCTAAAGCTGGAGGGGTAAGACCCGATGAGAGCTGGGAATCAGAGCTGTAGTGATTTGCCCCCGAGTTTCTTTTTTGAACTATACTTCTTAAGGTGGAAGTAAATATTGTCTGGGTAGAATCTGGGTCCTGGTCAACAGGGATTTCAAGGCATTGCTGATTTCCTTCTGGAAAAGGAGACTGATAATTTATTTCATCATATGACATCTTTCTTGAGCTGGCCTCAAAGGCTCTCAGCAAATGTGCAGTGTCTTTTACATCAATGCTTTGGTGCCTAGTGATGAATCGCTTGGAAAGTGCCAGCCCATTGGTTTTATAGGATAATTCTTCCTCTGGAGTAATATCCTGGAGCTCCTCTTGCAATGAAGCCACTCTGTTCTGGTGCATTAAGGATGGGGGACTCCTGAGCCAGGGCGGAGCCTGGGGTAGCTTGGACCCATTAAGGGCCACAGCAGGCTTCCTCGCAGGGGAGCTTGGGTCCCAGGTATCATCACTGCTTCCAGAGAGCTCACGATCCTTAAAGCCATGAAGGGACAGTTCAGTTTCAGAAGAATGTGAACGTGGCAAGGAGGCTGTTTTGATGTCTACTTCTGAAGGAGTGGTGCAGGAGGCTGGAGGATGACTCCCATCTATGTCCACAGGCGGCATATTTAAGTACTGTTTGGTAGTGTGCTTCCCAGAAGGCGATTTCGCTGTCGTGATGATGATGACCTCTTTCCCTTTTGCTTTGCAAGCACTAAGCAGAACTTTCAGAGTCTCTCTGTCTTCTGAATTTATAGCATAAACAAGAGCCGAGTAACTAGAATGGTCTTGCAAGCTGAGGTCAGCCCCACTCTTGAGGAGCAAAGAAACAACTTCGGGACCAGCTTTCTCTAAGCAAGCATGCATCAGAGCAGTTTTCCCAGACTTGTCCTGTATGTTGGGATCAGCATTGTTCTCTAACAGGTATTTAACCATTTTGGCTTTACTGACACTCTGGTGATCAACATGTTTGGTCTTACAAGCGATCATTAAAGGTGTTTCCCCACGGTCGTTGCTCTCATTAATGTAGGCACCGCCTTCTAGCAAAAGTCTTGTGAGGCGAAGCCGGCTCTGATGGACTGCTTTGATCAAGGAATTTCCATCACTTGAAATTTCTATACCTTCATCCATCTTCAAAAATAAAAAATCAATACCTGGTTATCAGAGAAGATGAAGATCAAACGATTAGCCAAAATCAATACCCCAATTTATATTCATTTTGTTACTCTAATTAATTTCTGAAATATGTACGAATAGGACATAAATGGGATTATGCTATTGATAAATGCGGAACAAAATAGTGAATTGCAAAATAAAAGAAGTTTGAGCATAGTAATGACCTTTAGGAAGTTAAAACTAAAATTTATTTTCAAAATATCTTCATTTAATATTTATGATGTAACACCAACACCGTACTTTCCTAAATCCCATACTAAACAATAATCCACTTATTTTCTACTTGTGAAAAATGTTTTTAAAATTAATATTGGCTGGGCAAGGTGGCTGATGCCTGTAATCTTAGCACTTTGGGAGGCCAAGGCAAGAGGATTGCTTGAGGTCAGGAGTTTGAGACCAGCTGGAGTGAGACCCCACTCTACAAAAATTAGTCGGGCATGGTGGTGCACGCCTGTCAGCTCAGCTACTAGGGAGGCTGAGGCAGGAGGATCATTTGAGCCCAGGAGTTTGAGGTTGTAGTGAGCTATGATGATGCCACTGCACTCTAGCCCTGGAAGACAGAGCGAGACCCCGTCTCAAAAAACAAACAAATGAACAAACAAACAAACAAACATGGTAGCTTAATATAAAGATTTTAGTATTAAATTACTTAAACATGCTCTTCAATTAGATCATGCAGGTGATATTTAGATTTTCAATTTGAGGGGTATTTTTATGTTTCTTTCGAAGGGTAGAAAATTGGACCATACAACGTTAAAATAACTGACACAATGTCTGAAATTCACACTGAGATTGGAATGGTAAACATGTGATTATGCATTTGTCTTGATTCCATTATTTAAATCATATACTGACTAGATTATGGGGTTAGCAACAACTACTGGGTTAAATTCTGACAGCAGTACATTTGCTCTGAAAAAGGAGTATTATAGGCACGAAACCAGAAAGGAGCCATGCAGACTTTGTAAACATTTTAATTTTTATCATTGAAACTAAAAAATATTTCTGTTTAATTTATTTAAATATTTTAGATTCAAAGTCCTTCAACAGAAAATTCCATTAGGTGGTGAGAATTATGTCTTCATCTAGAGCTAAGGGCAGTTTTGTCTTTTAACAGTCCTTAGAGTGAGGGAGAAAAATCAGATAAACAAATGTAAATATTTTAAATGTAGATTTAAAATATTTAAATCTATTTAATTAATTTGGTGGTTTTTAGAAATTGAAAAATATGTATTCTATCCATTTGCTTATTAAACTAATATTATGGGACATGAATTTCTATCTGATACTAGAATAGATAACAAATCTAATAACCTCTTAACAGAAAGAAAGAAGAGATAAAGAGAGCAGATAGAAAGTGAAGAAAAAGAGGAAAGTTGGCATGCACACAGAAATTAATTCCATTGTTAAACATCTAAAAGATCTTGCTATGTACCAGGCACTGAGCTACGAAGATACAAGCCCTGCCCATGAGGCGCTCACAGTCTTTCAGAAGAGATGTTGTATAAGCGGCTGGTTAGAGTAAGAGTCACGAGAACACAGAGCTTCAACAACTTAGAGACTGAACGGGACTTCACAAAACCTGGGTCTTGAAGACTGTATAAGAATTTGGCAGGCAGACAAAGGAGGAAGGAAGAAGTGAGAGTACTCCCTGTGCAAAGACCTAGAGGCATAAAATAGCAGTTTGTTTACAGAATGAAACAGGCTCTATTTACACAGATATAACCAAACTTCAGGAAAATATTTCAGCAGATGGTTAGAGTTAGGGTTAATATGGTAGAACACATACATCTAATTTTGTTCCTTCTTGAAACCCCCTAAAACTAAAAAAATGTTGAAAGGACATAAATTCATACCAATAGAGGGAAAAGGAGGGAAGATGGCAGCAAGAACATTTTGGAAACCAGAAAGCAGATAGGCCAGTAGTAACTGACTCAGCCCACTTGAGAAAGCCTTTAGAACTGGTGGCGGGAGCGGGGAGTGAAGAATACAGCTAAAATAAGGAGGACTAGGTGAAAAGCTGTCAGAGAAGCAGTTGGATTCCTACGTCCTTGCTACTCAAAGTGTGATCCTACCCTGGACCAGCAGCTGCAGCGGTAGCCAGGCGGGCATCACCATCATCAGAAAGCTCATTAGAGGTGCAAAATCTCAGACTCCACCCCAGAGCTGCTGAATGAGAGCCTACATTTTAACCAGATGCCCAGGTGCTTTGTATGCACGTTCAAGTTTGAGAAGCACTATCTTAGGTCATTCCTCCAACTCCAAGCCACTGGGAGATAGAGACTACTCCTCTCCCACCATAGAGGATATCCAGAGGTTTATTCTCTGAAAATGTGAAACAGAGGGTCTCTGGCCTGGGACACCAGGCTTATTTGAGAACAGAAAAATAGGGGAATAAGAGATTATTTGCTTGTTTGCTTACTGACCACTGCTGAAGGAACGGATAGCCTACTTCCCCAGCTCGGCTCCAAGAAGGCCGGCAGCTATATGCTTACCCCTCAGCAAAAATCGTTGCCCCCTTCTCTCAAGAATCTGACCTGCCGAAGAGAAAACAACTAAGAGTACTGACCACAGGATTCCCCCACATGCCACCCACATCATCCTACAGTGAGCCTTGCAGGTGATAAACCTCACCTGTGTGCTCAAGGTTTCTCATCAGTTTTTAAATCCCAGCCCTTTAATCATGAGTGGACAGCCCAAACAAAAATCAAAAAACGAAAATGCCTCCTACATTAAAGATTAGAACAAATAGGAAAAAGCAGCTTGGAGGAAACTGACATTAGCCAGGAAAATGAAAATTTCAAAAACGCATTATCTTCAAAGGGATAAGAAGACATAACTGTGAAACAAGACTAAGATTTTATGATAAAGGAGTATTCAGAGACCATAACGAGAGCTTCCAAAAGGTTAAGGTAAAAATATGATACAAGCCTGAAAAACTCAATGAAGGGTTGGATGATAACGTTAATAAAATATCTTACATAGTAAAAACAACAACAACAAAAACCCAAGACAATTAGAGGACTAGACCAGGAACTCCAATATCCAAATAATGGAAGTTTCAACAATAGTGGGGGTGGGAGGAGAAAGGGGCAAGCAGAAGAGGAAATCACCAATGAGATCAAGAAAAATTTCTACACCTGAGGGACTTGAGTTACCAAACTGAAATGGACCAATTAGAACACAGTGAAATGAGCGAAAACAGCCCCTGACCATGGTGCACGGTTGTAATTTCCAGAACACTGAGAACAGAGAACATTCCACAAGCTTGGGGGTAGGGGAAACGGCCTGGGGGGTGGGGAGTAAGTCACACACTAAAGCAGGAGTCCCCAACCTTTTTGACACCAGGGACAGTTTCATGGAAGACAATTTCTCCACAGATGGGGGTGGGGTGGGCGGAGCTGAGGCGGTGGTGCCAGCAGCGACCGGGAGCGGCTGCAAGTCCAGATGAAGCTTTGCTCACTCACCACCGCTCACCGCCTGTTGTGTGGCCTCCCGGTTCCTAAGTTTCATGGAAGACAATTTTTCCATGGATGGGGGTCAGGGGCAGGGAGGGAGACAGAGCTCTGCAGCCCAGTTCCTCACAGGCTGCAGACCAGTACCAGTCTAAGGCCCAGGGCTTGGGGACCACAGCACTGAAGGATCCAGAATTAGTATGGATTCCGATAAATCAACAACGATGAAAGACAATGAAGGAATGTCTTTAAAAATCTGAAGAAAAATAATTCTCAGCTTAGAATTCTATATTTAGCAAAATCATCAAGCAAGAATTGGGATATAGGCTCATGAATTTACTGGAGGATGTAATCTATAAAGATGAAATAGCAGAATAAGAAAAAAGAAAACATGAGATACCAGAGGCTTGGAGAGCATCACAGAGGAGAGGCTCCGAACTTCCTGGGAAAATGGTGAAGGGAGATGCCGGATGGTGGCTGTGCACAGACATCCTCTCTGAGATCACGCTGCCATTTTACTACCTTGTTAGCCGAGGACCAAATGCCCAGTGGAGCCTGCCCTCAGTTCTTGTCTCTAACTTGCTTTGTCCTGGCCACATCTCTGCTCGCTCCTCCAGGTCTGCTTCCTGGGGCAGCAATGGCACTCAGGTCAGCTCTGTTGAATTGCCCTGATCTGACTGCGGGCGATAAGACCTGGTGGGCTCAGGAGGACAAAAACTGAACAGCACATTCCCTTGGGATATCCAGTCCCTGGTCTACACCGTAGCCCTGCCAGAAGCCCTGTAATGGTGACACCACGTTTCCTAGGACTCACTTGTGACCCAGCCTGGGGGACTCATGTGAACAGCCTTGAGCCGACTGAGACCCAGAGACAGCTCAGCTCGTCTACTGAGAGCTTCCATCATGTTCGGGCAATACTGCCCTTTCTTTAGTCATCTAATTTTGTGCCTGCTACCCAGTTTTTTTTTTTTTTATTTCAGCATATTATGAGGGTACAGATGTTTAGGTTACATATGTTGCCCTTGCCCCCCCAAGTCCAAGTTTCAAATATGTCCATCCTTCGGGTGGTGCGCATTGCACTCTTTGTGTATGCATATACCAGTCCCCTCCTCCCTCCTCCCTCCTCCCCCCTCCCCCCTGCCCAACATCCAATAGATGTTATTCTTATATGTGCATTTATGTGTTGATCAGTTAATACCAATTTGATGGTGAGTACATGTGGTGCTTGTCTTTCCATTCTTGGGATACCTCACTTAGTAGAATGCGATCCAGCTCTGTCCAGGAGTATACAAGAGTGCTACCCAGTTTTTTAAAAATAAGCATTCTACTTAGGGATCATATATAAGCAAGAAACTGAAAAAAAAAAAAAGAGTCAAGAAAAAGCTCCCTCTTGGTGGGGACTGGGAGAACAATGCAATTTGGGAGGCACACGCAGAGGCCTCCAAGGTTCAGGTGATGTTCTGTTTCTCAGTCTGGATGGTGTGTGGGGGATGTCCATTT